TCCCCCCTTTTTGATACTTCCGTGTGCAGCCCCCTCTCTCCCTCCAGGTCAGGCCGGCTTCCCCGTCTACAAGTACGTACCCTACGGGCCGGTGAACGAGGTGCTGCCCTACCTGTCCCGCAGGGCCCAGGAGAACAGGGGCTTCGTGCAGAGGGCGAACCGGGAGCGGGACCTTCTCTGGAGGGAGGTCAAGAGGAGGCTTCTTGCGGGCACCTTCTTCAGCCCCAACCACTAACCCAACCGCGGCATCCAGCCCGGGCTCTCTTGTGCCTTCACCTATAACCACTATTGCCATTCCCCGTCCTAATTCTGCTGCAGTTCCCCCCCGACACCCTCTGCCCTGGGAGGGGACACGTCCCTGTTGCTGTTTGAACCACATACGCCTTCTGGAGGTCACTACTGTAGGGTTGTCCCAGCTGGCACTGCCCCGAGGGATGTCCCTCTGCTAGCCCAGGGGCTTTTGGGCTGCGCTTGCCCTGGGCTGTCCCAGGGGAGATGTTGGTGCTCCCCTGCCAGCCCCCCCTTGCCTCGGTGGATGCTGGCCCCGGGGTTTTCCCCTTGCGGGACTGCCCGGGGAGATTTGGCCGCCTGCTTCGTGCCACGGGCTCAGGTCCAGGGCGGGCTGGGTGGCTTAGGGACAAGCTGGCCTCAGCCAGAAGCTCCTCCAGCCTCTGCCAGAGCGGAGGTACAGCCTTTTCAAGCTCCACAGAAGCAGAGGCCACCGTGACCTGGGCAGGGGCAGAATGAGTCCCTGTTGCCTGTCCCAGGGCAGCTGCTCCGTGGCTGCTCACCAGCTTTGCACAGACCAGATCTGGGCAGGACCGGTCTCTCCCTCCATCCCACCAGGTTCTTCTCCCCATCTCACCAGGCTCAGCAGAGCCAAAGCTTACCTGGGGCTGTCCATCCTCAGGCGCACATCAAGTGGGACAGGAGGGGCGAGGGGAGCTGGCCGGCCCATCCCTGCGCTGCTCCTGCCCTGCCTGCAGTCCCTGCCTCCCACGCTGGACCACGTCCATGCTGTGGGCAGGGGCGGTGGCCATGGGGGAGCACCAGGAGCTGGTCTGGGGGCTCAGCTCTGCTGTACACTGGATTTGCAGAGAACAGTGATGATTAAATCGCAGCTGTTCTTGCTCCCGTCTCTCTCTTGGAGTATTTGGGCAGCCGCCCGTCCCTGGTTGAGACCGGGGGGGTTAGTGCCTGCTCAGCCCCCTCCAGCTCCACACTTTGTCCTGAGTTGGGGTCAGGACTTGGGGAAAGGAGCCAGAGATGAGCTGTACCGAGTGAGGCTAAACTTCCCCAGGGCTGGGAATGGAGAAGCTTTGGAGCTGTCTGTGCTGGGGCTGGGGGGAGCTCAGAGCCCTGGAGCATCCTCCTGCCTGCGGAGGGGGAGATGGCAGCTGTGGGAGAGGTGCTCCCCACCCTGAGATCCACTTTTGGGGGACACACATCCTTGCAGGCTTTCACTGCCTGGGTTTACGTGGGCTCATTTTGAGCTCTGCAGGACCACAAGCATCTCTGGCTTTCCCTGCCCAGCAGCTGAAGCAGCACCTCCTTTTTCCCAGGGTTCAGCATCTCCCCTTCTCATAAGACACCCCCAAGACAAAGGGGTGAAGTTTAGGCTTTCCAGAGATGGTCACCTCCTGCCTTTTCTCTAGCTGAGACCCCCGTGCCTTAAAAGAACTGGAGGAGCAGGGAGTATGGCTGGAGCACGAGGCTGGGG